GGAAAACTCCCAGTTTCGAAAAGAGGCGCCTGGGAGTGGGGATGGACCCAGGTTGCATTTGGGCAGCAATTTCAGTGGCAAAGTATTTGTGGTAAGGTCCAGATGCAGCCTGATTTAAAATCAAATTTGATTCATTAGGTATTCAGAGTACCAGTGATAACTGATTTGCTAGTTACAACCATTCCTGGATGGAGTCTATGTTCTTGTAACCTTCCCATTCATTGTTCCATAGTAACACATTATATATCCTTGAAGATGGCCCAGAAACTCCTGTGTGGCTGCCAAAATGTTAACAAGTGCAGAAAGATGGGCGCATTTAACACTATTACACTACCACACTCTCTTTTATTCATTGTATACCCACTAAGGCATCTAGCTTCTCTGTTAACAGCACCTCATTTGTGAAACATTTTCCCCATGAAGATGTAACAGGTTCTAATCTTGCAACCATTTTGGCACCAAGTCAAAACTTTTGGAATTCTAAGGAATTTTAGATTGCTCAATCCAATTTATTGGGGTGGTGGTGTTAAATTGATTTCAACTGTTTTATAATTGTACTCTGGGATCTTTAATACCTATTTTTTTTAATCAATACCCTGAGAGCTTGTTATGTAGAGCATTTTAGAAATTTCAAAATAAATCAATTAACAAAAGAATGTGCGAAATGGTTTTTTTTTTTGTTTGTGTGTCTAAGGTCTAATCCACACTGCATAAATAATCCAATTTGAGACCACTTTAACTACCCTGGCTTAGTGATAAGAAATCCTGGGAATTGTAGTTTATTGTGGCACCAGAGCTCTCTGACAGAGAAGGCCAAATGTCTCACTAAACTACAGTTCCCAGAATTCCCTAGTATTGAGCCAGGGCAGTTAAAGTGGTTTCAATCTGGATTATTTCTGCAGTGTGTTCCGGACCTTAAAGTCTAATCCATTTTATTATATTTTTAATCTGATCTTCCTTAAAGGGGCTCACAAGACCTCTTCCCATTTCTGCTTTCACAACACCCATGTAGCGTAGGCCAGGGTGACTAGCTGCAACAGGAACACGCCCCAGTGAAATTCACAGCAGAGTGAGTTAACTACTCTAACTGGCATAGCATAGGATGCTTCCATGGAAATCTTTAAGCATGCTGTGGTCCATGTGCCTGCATCCCACCTCTTTTCCTTCTATCCTTTTTGTCCTCAGCTTGAGGACAAGAGTGGGCACTGCCAGGCAACCCATCTGCTTTTTATTCTGCCACAGCAACACGTGGAAAGTCTTAAAAGTCTTGTTTTCTTGTTTCAAGGATCTCATGGTATCAAACGTAAGCACTGCGGACTCCAGCCCACCAGTGTTCTGGCTTCCCCTGCCATCCACCACTTCCTGAGAACAAAGGGATGTAACACAAGGAAAGACATATCAGGCAGGAAATGTTTCAAAGTTCCATTAATACAGAGGAGGGAGATCTTTCTGCTCTACTTGTATAGACAGAAGATTAATTTGGAAACCCTCCATAGCCAATCTGTTTGGCCATATCTTTACAGAAAGAGATTTGCCAGGAACAGTACCCATTAACCACTGAAGTTCAGACCAAGAACTGGAGGGACTGTCTGCTGTCAAGCCTTTTTCCAACCATTAAAGCTGAACCACCAACTATGATGGGCAAAAGCCACCCACAGTTAATCCACCAGTTTCAGTGGGAGGATTAAACATTGGAATCAATGGAACTGAATAACACTTTGTAGTAGTTGTTGTTTATACCCTGCCTTTCTTCTAATATAGGGATTCAAAGTGGTTAACAACAAATTTAAAACAGTAAGAAATTAAAAAAAAACAATGCAAAAGCATTAAAAACGATGAAATTTAAAAAACAGTTAAACCATTTAGAAAGTTAAAAACATTACACATTTAAAATATTAAAATGTATGAAGGACAACAGAATATGAAGAAACGGAATGGTTCCCAATTGGCAAAGTGGTCAAACAAGGCTGCATTCTGTCACCTTATTTGTTCAATGTCTATGCAGAAAACATCATACACACAGCAGACTTAGGACGTTATCACACGGGGGCAAATCTGCTGGTTAATCCACACAAATCCCAAACTGGATTTGTGCCTCACGTTTTCACACGATGTCGCACAGAAACTGGACAGATAGTGGACAGAAACTTGTGTTAACTGAGATCTTTTGAAATTCGGTTGTTTGGAGGAAATGCAAATGCGAAATTAAGGTAATTTCGCATTTACCGTAATGTGAAAAGCAAATGTGCATTTGGGAGCATTTCCCTGCTTTTTCCCATGGTTCCATGGTTCCATGGCGAGCATTCCTCTATCTGTGTGTGAACGTTAAATTCGCTTACTGTAAATTCGCAATTAAGGTAATTACGTGTGAAAGCCATTTGCGGAATCAAGGTTTATTTTCTGTTTATTTTTGGAATGCCTCATTTCCACTTTCTTTTCGCTTTCTGGCCCACATGTGATAATGTCCTTAGACACAGAGGAAGGAGGAGTGAAGATCAGAGGAAGGAACAACAACAATCTCAGATATGCTGATGACATCATACTGCTAGCAGAAAACATCACAAACATCACAAAAATGAAAGAAAGTCAAAGAAGGAAGCTAAGTAGGCTTAACATTAAACCTTAAGAAAACAAAAATAATAACCACAGAAGACCCACATGAATTCACTCTAGATGATGAGGAAATAGAAATAGTCAAAAGATTTCCCATATTTTGGATCAAGTATTGATCAGAACAGACATTGCAGTCAAGAAATCAGAAGTCTTTGAATGGGAACAGTGGCTATGAAAGAACTAAATACAATCCTAACATGCAAAGATATCACACTGAACACTAAAATTAGTACTGTCCAAGCCATTATATTCCCCACTGAGGCTGTCATCCTCTGGCCACATCATGAATGACTCATTAGAAAAGGCAATAATGCTAGGAAAGGTGAAAGGAAGTAAAAAGAGGGGAAGACCACATATCAGATGTTTAGATTCAATCAGGGAGGTCACAGACCCCAATCTGCAGGATCTCAGCAGAGCAGCTGAAGTTAGGGGGACATGGAGATATCTCATCTATAGGGTCACCAGGAGTCAAAGTCAACTTAAGGCAGTTTAAAACAGCAACAACATTAAAAATGATAGACTGTATAAAATTATATATCTTATATATTCTACATAAAATATTTATATACTATATAAAACTATAAAATTACAGCTGGAAGGGCCAAGTCTACAATGTTAAGCAGAGTGATGCCACTGGCTTGGGTGGCAGATGCTGGAGAGGTGGCAATGGCAATTCCCTAGGCCATTTCTCTCTGTTAAAGAACAAAGC